CGCTTCCCTCGCCGCTCCCCTCGTCTGAACGGCGGCGGTACTGTTGTTTAGGGTAAGCTTCCCCACTCCTAATCTTCCTACTGCTCGTGCTTACAGTTGCGGTGGTAGTGATTGAGTGCATGCTTTTGGGGGCTGGATTATGATGTATATGAACCCTAGGCTAAATTTGTACTATTGTAGTGGTAGTATTTGATGTTCACCTGCACTTCTACTCCAAAAATTTGTTATGTGTCTTTCTATTATTAAGTGCTTGATACTATATTTGAACCTTTTTTTTGAGTTGTTGATTTCTTTTTGGTAGAGCTACCAGCTCTTATGGAGATGCTCATGTTGTATGTCTTGTTCTCCATTATTTGTACTTAGCATTCTATGCATATAAATGCCATGACAAGCCATGTAGCATATTTATTTATTGCCTCCAACATGCCATCATTTTACTCTGTGCATCTCAGCAACTATAAATCTGTCAGCTATAAAACTTTGCGAATTTGCTTGATGGTTCCCACTAAACTATAAACCCCCCTTTTGTTTTCAAAGTAAGCCACTGACATCTGGGTCCCACGACAGTCACGCACACACAAATGCTCCCAGTCATGTGGCCCCTGGCCCACTGGTCATCCTCGATGGCTAGCCAACCTCAGTGTGCCTCTACCAATAACAACAACCCTTTCTGTTATAAAACTATGCAACTTTGCTTGAAGGTTGCCACTAAAAATATAACTTCTATGGCCATGCTTCCTAAAATTTATTTGCATTATGTTGTCAATACTTTCATGCCATGCCTTTTTTTGCCATGACAAGTTTATGTTGCATGGTAAAATCTTGCTCTAAAGTGGCCATGTTAATATAATTGTTTGATGTTAAAAGTAAGTTGCACTTGTGAGCTTGGTTTTGTTTGCTTGTTGTAATCATCATGTCAACACTGTTTCTCATTATAACTGTTTCAACATAACTGTAATTTTCACTAATTCCTAACCTGTAACAGCAACTTTGCCATTCGTGTTTCGCAGGAAAAAAACTGGAGTTCACAAGGCTGGAGACCTGGAGTTGTGAGGCTAGGAGGCTGATGGCTCTGCTGCTGGCGCTGCTGCTGGCTGATCCTTCTTCTTCCAGCTTTTGTTCCTTCTTTTATCTCTACTCGTTGGATTCCTGGGCTACATCCCTATGTGCTGTTAATGTATTAAGTTGATCCTTTGAATTTATTGTATTAGATTTAATGTGAAGTACCTTAATCTCTACGAAAGAGATGTTGGTTCTATGACTGAATTTCTAGGAGCATGCTTAAATTCAATATTTAGGGATTTTTTTTGAATTGTTTGGATTGCTTACCACATGTGTCACGTGGTCAATATATAGGGATTATTAACATATGAAAACAACAATTCGATCGCCTATGTAAATGTGTACAACATAATTTTCAAGATAAATTGAAACATAACACGTGCACATGCAATTTGCCAACAGGTCCAGTTGTAGTAGAAAAAGACAGCATGTGCACGTATCCAACCGTGCCTCCTACGATTTTGTTCCATGCTTTTGTCGCCACATGTCTTTGGAAGTAAACAAATATAAGGTGATTTTCTAATAAACCGTTTTGGAGAGAAATTTGCAACCAACCAAAAATATCTACTGCGTGCAACTTGGCCCCAGTGGGGAGATTGGATCGACTCCTAGATCATAGGGTGAGGCCATCGTGATCGTCAGAGAAGAAATCTTTTTTCGAGGGAAGGTAGGAATTTTGTGTGGTTACAAAATGGACCTTATTGTAATTAAGGAAATTATTATTTAACAGAAACCTTGCTATTTTCAAGCTATTATAAAAATAACTAAATTGTTTTGGCAAAAAAAGTTGATTATGGGTTAGTTCATTTTGTGGACACGTACGTGTAGTGGTGCATGCTATGGGCCCAGGTAGCTCTAGGTGCATGTAGTGTATATATGGACCAAAGAGCTTATGAACGGTGTCTGGCCTATGAACGGTGTGCGGGGCCTGCCCCTTCATCTGCTTCAGAACTCCGTGCCGCAAGATGTGGACCCTAGCAACCAAGGCTCGCCCCGTACGCCGCACACCAACTGGACCCATACCATGCATGCATGCATGGCCAAGTAGACACTCACCGGTGAACCTTGACAATGTACACAAGACGCATGCGCACTCATTCTAGCACCCAGCCATGCACACCTAGCCAGCTTCACTCAAACCGTGAACCGTTTTCCAGGTTCACCCACACCATCCATCCATTATTGACCCCTCCTCGGTTCGTTGGACCTCAGACATGAGTCCCTTCCCTCGGCATTTCAGGTATGTCAAAGCAACACACGACTACACATATTGCACACCGAGATACGACGTCATTCACTAGTGCCAGCCAAAATGATGTACACTAGCGCATGGTTAGGATCGAGAAGCCTAGCGGCACATGATGTCGGCCCGATTGGTTGGGGGTGCATGACATGGGTCCAGATGAAACGCATGGCATCGCATGGATCCACATTCCCCTGCCCAATACCAGACAGCGGGCATATACCAGACGAATCCAAGCGGTCGCTGACGAAGCTTGGAAACCATGTGTTATGTGCATGCTGAATTTCAATATTTAGGAATTATTAACATACGAAAACAATAATTCAAGCGCCTATGTAAAGGTGTACAACATAATTTTCAATAAAAAATGAAACATGACACGTGCACATGCAACTTGCCAACAAGTGCACTTGTAGTACAAAAAGACAACATGTGCACGTATCCCACCATGCCTTCTACAATTTTTGTTCCATATTTTTTCGCCACATATCTTTGGAAGGAAAAACAAAAGAATGTGATTTTCCCATAAAAAACCGTGATGGCGAGATGGTTGCAACCAACCAAGATAGATAGTGCATGGAAGTTGTCCCCCGTGGGGAGATTGGAACGACCACTCCTAGATTATAGGGCGAGGCCACCGTGAACGTGATCGTGAGAGGGTGAAGAAGGATTCGTTCTTTCGAGGGAAAGGAAGTAATTTTGTGGGTTTACAAAAAGGAATGCGCCCCTTTTTGAGGGACAACAAATGCACGTTATAATGTGTAATTAATTAAATTATAATTTAACAGAAACCTTGCTATTTTCAAGCAATTTAAAAACAACTTACTTGTTTTGGCAAAAAAATGTTGATAATGCGATAGTCCATTTTTTGGACACTTACGTGTAGTGCTGCATGTTGTGGAAATCGGGGTGGAAGTCTTGTGCTAAGCTATTTTGCGGGGTGCGGCATATGAGTCTACACGGGGAATGGTTGGCTTGGGGGCCGGCGTAAGTGATGTGGGTCTAGTGTCTAAGTGGTGCACCACGTGGGTCTAGACGGCGGGGGTGCATGGTTTGGATATAGCTACCTTGAGGTAACGTGTCCGGTTTGCGCAATGAATGCGGACCCGTTCCTCCATTTTCGTCGATGCTCTCTCTTGGGTCAACGGAGAACAATCCAAAAGCGCATGCAAGGTCCCGGCCTTTCTTGGAGCCCGCGCTTGCCATATTCGGGACATTTGCCGCATTTCTAGGGCAGTATCCTCGGAAATTCAGAATCTATACCGCGGCCACATGAAATCACAGAAGGGATTGGGGGTTACAGTTCCATGCTAAGCTCTGGTCCATATATGTGCCATGTGCGACCAATGGGCAGGGCCGCCTCAGAGCCATTGTTAAGGGCAAAAAGTGCCGGGTCTCGTCTGCCGCCGCTATAATCCGTGCAAATTCATGAGGGATCCAAATTTCTTGGGACCTTTCACGGTGTGGGTGTGGTCGAACATCGAGAGCAGCACGCATAAGCCTTCACATAGGTTGTGTGTAAACGAGACCAAAACACATCCCGGAGCTAGCCATCGAGAGGGAACAAGTCCTGCTTGTGGACGAAGACCGGAGCCCGCCCCTTCATCTGCTTCAGAACTCTGTGTCGCAAGTTTTGGGCCCTACCCACCAAGGCACATCCCGTACGCCGAACGCAAACTCGACCCACAGCATGCATGCATGCATGGCCACGTAGACAACCACCATTCAACCTTGACAATGTACAAATGATGCATGCGCACTCATTAGCCATCTAGCCCCCCAACCATGCAAACCTAGCCACCTAAACTCAAACCATGCACCGTTAGCCAGGTTGACCCACACCATACATCCAGCATTGACCCCACCGCAGTTCGTTGGACCTTCGACGAGTCCCTTCGGTATGCTAGGCACGCCAAAGAGACACGCGGCTACACATATTGCACACCGAGATCCGACGTCATTCACTAGTGCTAGCAAACCTGTTCGCATGAGCATCTCTGCGCATGGTGGACACTAGCTTGTTGTTTGGATCGAGAAGGCTAGCGGCGCATGTTTTGGCCCGGTTGGCTCGGGGTGCATGATATGGGTCCAGACGAAACACATGGCATCGCGTGGATCAACATTCCCCTCCTTGGTACCGGACATCGGATATATGGCAGACAAATCCGCGTGGTTGCTGATTAAGTTTTGTCACATCCATTTTCCATTCCATTGTTTGTAAAGTTTTACAACATATTTTAGGACAAATATAAAACATGACACGTGCAGATGAAACAAGCCTACAAATTCAGTTGTCCCACTGTATGAATTTGTTCTGTGTAATGAGGGAGCAGTTGCATTACACAATTTTTTAAGGGAAGTTGCATTACTCCTAAATCATGGATGTGCAGGAACGGGCTATTCATTTTAGTGAGAAGTGAGAAGTTACGTTTTGACGTGGCAAGACGTGGTGGTGTGAACAATGCACGGGGAGGTGTGAACGTGGCAACAACTCCTTTTGACTGCCCACGACTAAATCGGCGGCTCCGCTTCCCCATTAGCATTTATCACATTGCCGCCGCCCTCTTCCCGTCCTCTTACCCATCTACAAATTCGAGGGTTTTCTCCTCCCACGCCTCACCACTCGCCTGCCCACCCCGCCGTTGCTCCCTTCCCGCCGCTGCTCCCTTCCCGCCGCTGCACCTCCGCCATCGAGATGCCCAAGCGCACCATGGGAGGGAGGGCCGATGCCGGGGCCGACACCATGGCGCACGAAGCATCCAAGCATCGTGCGAAGCTGCACATGGAGAAACCCCTCCCCGCCGGCGAGGGGTCCAGCCGGCAGCAGGGCGGCCGTGACGTCGTCGACCACGTCCAGGCTCCGGTGCAGGTGTCACCTACGCCGGAGCAGGTGACTCCTCTGCCACGCCATCTGCCTCCTCTGGCGCAGCCCGTGGTCAATGTCGACGGCGACAACGACGAAGAAGAGGTCAGTCCTATTTTAGGAAATATCCTAGGTTTCCTTGTTCAGTCCCTTATCTATTTTTGGGCATGGATAGAGTTTCTGCTTTTCTTCCATATATGAAATCCGTACCTAGATTCGTTAGATCTGGTAGGTTTGATCCACATGGGTGCATGGGTGTGGGGGTCGGCTCCTCATTGTATAGGTTATCTTGTTTTCAAGATCTACCAACCACTCCGATCCATGGCTCTCGTGCATCCAAAATGTGTTGATGCCAAATTTTAAGATAGATCTACCAACCACCCGAAATTATTTGCCCCAAATTTCTTATATATGGTTCTTTTATTTTAAATGTACTAAAAGTGGTGTAGTTTATGCACTAAACTTCATGTCAATTTGTATAAAACTAGCCTCTTACGCTTAATCCAGCAGACACATTTTTTGTTGTTCAATTTGCTCAACACCAATTGCTTGATTCCCGGAGTCCAATTACCATAGACTGTAATATTATTGACTTGTTATCATCCCTATTTGAAATATATTATTTGGTTGCTTATTTTTAGCATAATATTTTCTACAAGTAAAGGATAACAACACCATGCCTTATTTACGAAAATGTCATACTAAATAATCTTCATTTTCTGTCATTCATGTCTGTACTATCAGTATGATGAAAAAATAATATTTTCACATGAACATTTTAGCTATTACTCCTAACTCTTTAATTTCTTGAGTAACAGAAGCAGAGGCAGAAGAATTCCTTCTGGACTCAAAAGCCAACTTGATCTCAGCCGTTTGAAAAATATTGTTGTGGTTTTGGTTTGAAATATTAATTTTTGAACACCCAACTTTGAAATCTTGGATCCGAAGCTGTGTTGCTAGGTTGCATTAGTTTAGGCATGTATATGACATTTTTTGATCTATATAAAATATTCTGCTATTTATGTGGGACCAGGTAGCTGCTCTGGCTCCTCAGACGGAGCAGGCACTACTAGAAAAAGGGCTATAGATGGGATTGATACTAATGGCGCACCAGACAAGCGGTGCGCCATTAGTATATACTAATGGCGCACCACCTCCTGATACGCCATTAGAGTTGAAACTACTAATGGCGCACCTGGCCCAGGGTGCGCCATTAGTATCAAATTTTTTAACTAGTGCGCCTGTCCAAACATACTAATGGTGCATCCATACACAGTGCGCCATTACTAGTTGTAACTAGTAATGGCGCACCAGCAGGAAAGTGCGCCACTAATGTTGTTTTTTTTATTATATTTTTTATTCCCTTTTTTGCAAAACTACTAATGGCGCACTGTTCCACCGTGCGCCATTACTAGTTTAAACTAGTAATGGCGCACTGTGGGACAGTGCGCCATTAGTATTTTTTTTTGCAAAAATACTAATGGCGCACCACCAGGGGGTGCGCCATTAGTAACCTGGATTACTAATGGCGCATTTAGAGTTGGTGCACCATTAGTAAGTGGGCAGCAACAAGATATTTTGGACAGCCTCTCCTACCCATACTCACTCTCCCCACTTCATTCTCTCCACCTCCTCCTTGTCTCGGGTGCCTCCTCTTTTTCACCTCATTTCCACCATAGATTCATTCAATTTAAGTGGTTAAATTACCTTGTTTTGATAGGTAAGTAAGGGGGGAAGCTATATTTATGTTGTTCTCCCTACAACAATGTGCACATGCACTTTTTATGGCCTAGCTAGATCTATGTATGTTCGTGGTGTTGCATATGTTTGTGGTGTTGCATATGTGTTTGTGTTTGGAGGTGTACCGGTATTTGAAATTCGATAGTTGCCAATATTTTGCCAGAATGTTGATTCATTTCCGTTTCGGCGAGAATTTTGGCATTAAGCATTCTTTTTGGTCCTATTTTTAGGGAAAGTCATGCCAAATTTTTTCTTGGTTCTAAAATATCATTTTGCTCTACCCCGCAGGCGACCATGGTCCGCATGATGACCGAAGGCATCGTGAATAGGTTTTTGAGGTCCGTGAAGGCCGAGATGCTTCAAAAGAATGAGACGGAGATAAGATGTCCGTGTCGAAGATGCAAGCTGAAGAGCCTTATTGCGGACCCGGAATCCGGGCAGGTGCGGGACCACCTGCTCTTGCGTGGTTTCATGGATGGCTATCGGTGGAAAGGTGATGAAGATGACTACGAAGTCGTCCATGGGGGCTGGGCAAGAAATGAGGAAGGGCAGCAAGACAACCACCGCGGCTCGGGCGGGCGAGAAGACGAAGAATCCCTAGGAGATGATCACGACGGTGATGCTGTACACAGTCATCATGTAGAAGATGCAGGACATGATGATGAGGAAGATGCCGGAGCAGTCGACGGGCATGATCATGAAGATGATGATGCCGGCGGAGCAGACGACGCTGGACCATCGATGGGCTGGGTGCAGGACCCTCATATTCAAGAGCTGCTTCTCAAGCAGACGGATAACGCAAGAGCTGCCGCCCGAAAGAAAGCCAAGATGGATCAACTTGAGTTAGACGCGGTTACTCCATTGTATGAAGGATGCAGGCCCGAGGATACCCGCTTGAAAGTAACGCTCATGGCTCTGGAGATGAAGGTAAAACACAAAATGACCGACGCATGCTTCGACGAGAACATGTCATTCTGGCACGAACGTCTTCCCGAGGGGAACAAGTGCCCGACCAGTTTGGAGGAGGCAAAGAAAATCGTGTGTCCTCTGGATTTACCGCACGTGAAATACCATGTGTGCATGAACAATTGCATCATTTATCGGGACGAGCACGCGGAGTCTACCATATGTCCGGTGTGCGGCGTCACCCGATACAAGAAGAGGAAGAAAGCTCCTCGAAAAGTGGTGTGGTACTTTCCGATCACTCCTCGTCTGCAGCGGTATTTCGCGGACCCTAAGGTAGCAAAGCTCCTACGTTGGCACGCGGATAGGGAGGAGAAGAAGCGAGAAGATGATGCAAATGATCCGGAGATAGATAAAAAAGACAAGATGCTGAGTCACCCTAAGGATGCGAGCCACTGGCAAGCATTGAACTTCGAAGACCCAGAATTTGGGAACGATCCAAGGAACATCGTGCTGGGCGCGAGCACCGATGGAGTCAATCCGTTTGGCAGCCAGAGAAGCACACATACACCTGGCCTGTGTTTGTGTGGATGTACAACCTTCCCCCTGGTTGTGCATGAAGAGGAAGTACATTCACATGAGTATGCTAATTGAAGGACCGAAACAACCAGGGAACGACATCAATCTATATCTGGGGCTGCTGAAAGAGGAGCTTGACACGCTGTGGAAAACGCCAGCCAATACGTGGGACGCCGCAGAGAAAGAATATTTCCCTATGAGAGTCGCGCTGCTCACGACGGTGCATGACTATCTCGGTTACGGATATGTCGCGGGGCAGGTGGTCCATGGATTTTCTGGATGCGTCAGGTGCATGGATGACACAATGTATCGCCAGCTAGATAGAGATCCCGGGTCTTCGAAACCATGTTCATGGGACATCGAAGGTGGCTTCGCGACAATGACCCGTGGAGAAAACGCAAGGATCTGTTCGATGGTGAAACCGAACCCCGAGGATGCCCGCGTACGAGGAGCGGCAAGGAAATAGATGAGCTGTTGAAAAATTGGAAAGACTGCCCACTGCCGGGAAAGAAGCAAAAGGCGCCAGATCCGGGAAAGAAGCGAAAGGCGCCAGAGCCGCTGCTGAAGGTATGGAAAACGAGGTCTGTTTTCTGGGACTTGCCGTACTGGAAGATCCACCGTGTGCCTCACAGCCTTGATGTCATGCATATCACGAAGAACGTGTGCGAGAGTCTGCTTGGTACCCTGCTCAACATGCCAGAGAGGACCAAAGATGGGCCGAAAGCAAGGTCAGACTTGAAATCAATGGGCATCAGGCAGGAGCTTCACGCTATATATGATGATCATGATGATGATGATGATGATGAGGCGAAGCAGGACACGGAAAGTCATCACAAAGGCAAAAAGGCCAAGTAGACCGGAAATGACTACCCTCCCGCGTGCTTCACTCTAAGTCAGGAGGAGATCGAGCAGTTTTTCACCTGCCTCATAGGAGTAAAACTTCCTTACGGTTACGCGGGGAAGATAAGCAGATGCCAAGACCCAGCGAAGCTGAAGTTCAGCGGGATGAAGTCTCACGACTGTCACGTGCTGATGACGCAGATACTTCCAGTTGCAATCCGTGGTATCATGGACGCGCACGTCCGTGAAACCCTATTTGGCCTATGCAACTTTTTCGACGTCATCTATCGAAAGTCTGTTGGCGTGAGGCAACTCAGAAGGCTATAGGAAGAGATCGTGGTGATACTATGCGAGCTTGAGATGTACTTCCCGCCCACATTTCTTCGACGTTATGGTGCATCTGCTGGTCCATATCGTGGACGATATCATCCAACTCGGGCCGACGTTCCTGCACAGCATGATGCCGTTCGAAAGGATGAATGGTGTCATCAAAGGATACGTTCGCAACATGTCACGTCCAGAGGGAAGCATAGCCAGGGGCTTTCTGACCGAAGAGTGCATCTCCTACTGCACGAATTATCTAGGCATCGAGAACCCCGTTGGTCTGCCCGTCAATAGGCACCTCGGCAGGCTCGCTGGATGGGTTCACCATGAGGGTCGTCGCGAAATGCATGTCGACTTCGAGGGTCGACTCGCCGATTTTGAAAGAGCAAACCCAGTCACGCTACAACACATAGACGTGGTCGATCCTTGGGTGGTACAGCACAAAACCTTTATTAAGAAGACGTACAATGACCGAGGCTAACAGAGGACGGACGGAGATATACTCAAAGAGCACAACTCATGTTTCACGCGTTGGTTCAAGCAGAAGCTTCTGTCGTACCCTTTACATGAGGATTCTTCCGCAGAAGAACAACTCATATTCGCCTTGTCACAGGGCGCCGAGCACAACCTGATGACCTATGAGGCGTACGATATCAACGGCTACACATTCTACACCGAGGCCAAGGACATGAAGAGCGATGGTTATCAGAACTCCGGGGTAACGATGGAATCCTACACTGGTAACGACAAGGACAGATACTACGGAAGGATCGAGGAGATTTGGGAGCTGAGCTACGCTAGAGAGAAGGTCCCGATGTTCCGTGTCAGATGGGCCAAGAGCGTCCTAAAAGA